AAAGGTGAAAGAACAAAGCTTCCACAGTATGGCAGGGCACCAGAGCAGGTTGGGGCTGGCTGGGGCAGCATGCTTTTATTCCCTTATCTGGCCCCACCCACATCTTGCTGATTGGTCCGTTTTACAGACAGCTGATTGGTCCACTTTACAGAGAGGTGATTGGTCCATTTTGACAGAGTGCCGATTGGTATGTTTACAATCCTTGAGCTAGACACAGAGTCACAGAGTGCTAGTTAGCTAGATATAGAGTACCAACTGGTGCGTTTACAAACCTTGAGCTAGACACAGAGTACTGATTGGTGTATTTACAAACCTTGAGTTAGACACAGAGTGCTGATTGGTGCATTTACAATCCTTGAGCTAGACAGCCAGTCACAGGGTGCTAGTCCTCCAAGTCTCCTCTAGGTTAGCTAGATACAGAGTACCAATTGGTGTATTCACAAACCCTGAGCTAGACAGAGTGCTGGTTGGTGTATTTACAGCCCTTGAGCTAGACACAGAGTCACAGAGTGCTAGTCCTCCAAGTCTCCACTAGGTTAGCTAGATACAGAGTACCCATTAGTGTATACACAAACTCTGAGCTAGACACAGAGTGCTGATTGGTGCACATATGATCCTCCTGCTAGATATAAAAGTTCTGCAAGTCCCCATCCAGTTCAGGAGCCCAGCTGGCTTCACCCAGTGGATCCTGCACCAGGGCTGCAGGCGGAGCTGCCGGCCAGTCCCAAGCTGTGCCTGCACTCTTCAGCCCTTGGGCTGTGGATGGGACCCGGCGCCATGGAGCAGGGGGCGGCACTTGTCCAGTAGGCTTGGACCCAGCGGGAGCCCACCGCAGGGGGAGGAGCTCAGAAACAGCGGGCTATAGGTCCAGAGTCCTGCCCCGCCGGGAGGCAGCCAAACCTGGCCAGAATTTGAGTGCAGCGCCGCAGGCTGGCACTGCTGCGGGACCCGGCACAACCGCCGCAGCTGCTGGCCTGGGTGCTAAGCCCCTCACTGCCCTGGGCCGGTGCCGGCCAGCCACTCCGTGTGCGGGGCCAGCCCGCCCGCTGGAACTCACACTAGCCCGCCAGCGCAGCGCACAGCCCCGGTTCCCGCCCCTGCCTCTCCCTCCACACCTCCCGGCAAGCAGAGGGAGGAGGCTCTGGCCTCAGCCAGCCCAGAGAGGGGATCCCACGGTGCCTTGGCGGGCTGCAGGGATCCTCAAGCCCCGCCAGAGTGGACGCCAAGACCCGAGACTGAGGAGGCGCTGAAAGAGTGAGGGCTGCTAGCACATTTTCACTTGTCAGTACCTCCTAAGGTAGGGCATTTCTGGAATCTCCATGGACTGTCCCAGATATTCCCTGAGGTCTCTTCTCTGTGGTTCGTTGGGACTCTGAACTCTCCTGTAGTTGCTCTTTCCCTGGTAGTTATTATTTTTCTGGCCTCATGGAGTCTCATCCTGCACATACTCAGCTTAGTATTCAGCCAAAGATTGAAGGGGATCCACCCTCAGACTTCTGGAGCTCCTTGTTCTCACTGCTCCCTCCTCTCTGGCATTCAGCCCTACAAATTCCAGGTACCTCAGCCTCCCTGAGCTGCAGTCTCTGTATTCTTAGCTTTGTGAGACCTCTGCGCTCTGCAGGATTGCTCTGCCTTGCTTTCAGGTTGGGCCACTGCCTATAGGAAGGAGCCTGGGCAATGTTAGGGCTTACCTTGGTTTTTTCCATTCTCTCAGGGATCAAAGTCCTGCAGTACTTGCTGTCTAACATCTGAAAACAATATTTCATGTATCTCATATTGAAAACTTAACTTTTTAGTTGTTTATATAATGGAAGAGCTAGTCCAGTACCAGTTACCTTATAATTTATTGAACCTTCTTTATGTTTTTCATTGGCTAAGATTTAGCTCACCTCTGATAATTTGCACATGTTGCTTTTTCTGCCTGGGGCGCTTTTCCCCACTGCCTGTACCTAACAAGCTCTTATTCATCATTTTTAAGGATGAAATTACATTGTGGCATTTTTCCTGGTAGTCTTCTTTGATGTTACCAGATCCTGGGTTAATTGTCCTACTTGGTATAGTACTCTGGATTTACATATAATTGTAATTACTTGTTGTTATGCTGATTGTTTGTAGCCCCTACGAAAACCTAAGCTGTGTAAGGGCAAGGATTGTGCCTCGTTCACATTATTTCCCTTGTGCCTAACACAGTGAAGATCTCAATCTCTGTGTGTGTGTCTCCCTTTTGCAGTGTTACATGTGGAGATGAAGAAGTACTATTCAATTCAAAGTGCCTCAAGTATACTTCAGAAAATTTTTGGACTTCTACGCTGGTTTGGAGAGGGAGGCAATTATGGACAGTTGTCATTCTTTTATTCAGAAGCCTTCTTTTAAAATGTATCCTATTTCTGCCAAGATTGGTGTTTTTCTCCTTAATGTCTATGTTATAATTTATATTTGCCTACAAGTATTGGTCTGTTTATAATACTACTTATAGGTGAAGTTTTTTATTTTCCCTCACCTACAAATCAGTCTCATTAAAAAAAGTATCTTTCAAGATAAACACCGTAACCACTTAGTTGCCATAGTAGTTTTGAGGAAGTTAATGTGGCCTGGTCTTTTGGGGTGTGGTGGTGGGTGCACTGTCCCATTGAGGAGACTTTGATAACAGTAGCTTTCTTAGAAAGACTTCTTTCATTATTAAATTGAAGAAGATTCATCCATGATGTGCTAATCTTATTTATCTTTTGTCTATGGAAAAAGAATGTTTCCATTTTTCATTTCACAGAGTTGTGAGTGATAGCATTTTCAGATGGCTAGCACAAAAATTTGTCATGATTTGGTTCAAGTTTGCCTTAAGTTTAAAATTTAAAATTAAAACTGTTGGCCTATAAGCACTTATGAGCTGTCAGTTATAGTACTGTAGAGCCTTAGAACTGGCAGAGACCTTGAAAGTCATTTGTTCAAGCCTAGCCGAAAAGCCCCTGAACAGAGACTAGTTTGAGGCAGATACTTACATGATTTTAATTGTAGAAAGTTGTAATAAACTCTAGAAAGTTCTTAGGAAGTAAGAGTCAAATTCTGTTTTTAACAAACTTGTGCCCATGGTCCTACTTCTGCCTTATGTAATTTCCCAAAATAAAGTTAAACTTCTCCTTAGGTTATTTTATATTACAACAGTTTAACACCTATTCTGTCCTTGTTTATGTTTCTTTGCCTGAAGCTTCAGTTGTAAAACTATTCCTTGTATTGTATCCCTGTCGACATTAAAATATGTCATGTAATCATGTATCATCTGCAGTGGTATTCAGAACTGAATTCATTCTTCTTATGTGACCTGTATTGATAGTGGAACATCCTTGATTTGGAAATGTACCTGATCTCATTGTCTCTCCTAAGATTGTCTTCACTTATTATCTCTCATTAATTTAGAATTTAAACATCTTAGCCTTTAAGAAAACTTTTAAAACTTATTTTCATTGTTTTATAGGTATGCAATTTATTTTATATCAAATGCAGACAATTTTTTAAAATTTTTGAAATTCAGCATACTGACATACTTTTAATTTTTTTTTTATTTTGTAATTCAGCATGCTGATATACCTTTTGTTTTATATGCAGATTTGCTATGTGTTTTTCTGATCTACACGCCAGTAAATAAACTGTGGAACAAGACAAGATCCAATGAAGAGTCCTGTTGGTTACTTCTAGAATTCTTCCACTAGTTTGAAGAATTGGGTGGGAAAGTATTTCCGCCCAAATACATTATCTCTGGGTGTGTTTGTTCAGCTAGGAGTGTGCCTAATTGTAGCATGGGGCTCTGTTTGTCTGTTTGGTTCTTAAGAATGTCACCAGAGACTTTTTAAGTGCTTTTAGTATCATAAGATGATGTTTTCTGGGACCTGAAGCCTTGAATTATTGGTAAAGTGTCAAGGTTTTTGGTTTTTTTTACTTCTTTATACTAGGAAGAATCACATGCCATTTTCATCAAATATTCAAATACTACATGACAAAAAGTTCAGAGCTTTAAGTCAGTATTACAGAAAGGTCTTAATTGAATGGCAAAACTCCCATAGTACCATAGCTTTTAAATAAGTTTTTGATAGTTATGGAAGCTTTTTTCTTAGTTTCATGTCACTTAAAATTCATACCATTTGAAGAATAAAAAGCCTTTGTTTTTAGTAAAAGAAATAAACCAAAACCTTACTCTGATTTATTACTTGTTATTAAAGTGGGCTGGAATTCAAAATGATGAGAGCACAGTTGGAGGGTTTTTACTATAGTGTTCACATATTTTCTGTCATAAATTTGGTTATAGTTTTCTGCAGACATTACATTTGTATAAAGAACTCTGTGATAGACTATTTCTGTCCATGGGATTCCAAAATTATAGACACTGATGTCAATGCAGATGAGGTTAGCCTAATTTGGGCAAGAGAGGGACACGCCGAGTCTCTGTATGGATAGCTGAAGGCTATTGCCAAGATTGACAGGTGTCCTGTGAGTGGCAGAGAGCCCCAGGGATAAAATTTTCTCTTGGATTACTTCTCTAAGAAACAATGAACAAAGTCATATTTTCTTTTCTATTGATCACACTCATAAAATAGTGAGGTCTACTTTTAACTCAGCTTTTCTGATATTAGCCTTATAAACCCCAGAAAGGTAAAAAGTTTTATACTTTCTTCTTATAGTATCAGATTCTGTTTTTGAAAATTTTAAGTGTATCCTATGCATTAATTTTTCTAGAATAGTCACCTGATGTATTACTTTGCCATGTTTCACTAAGGATTTGAGACAACTATGAAAACAGTTAATGTAAAAGAATACATTTACTATTAGTGTAAAAGAGGTAGCTTTATAGAATGATAAACTACATGATCCAACTCTGGAAAAATAAACTTTTAGGAGAATTATCTAAGGTATAAGCATAATATTTATTGTAAAAGAGATTTTATATTAATTTGAAACAGCATTTGTTTTATTTCATCTAATTGAAATTTTATTATTATTAAAATTTAATTATAAATCACCAAGATAAGTAGTCCTAAATGTATCTCAAAATAAGAAAGAGTTTTATAGCCATTAGGTTTATGACACTGAGAAGGTTTAGATTACTACTTTAAGAAAAACTGTGTTGCCTGAGATTTTTGTAAGATTTGAGTGATGTAAATGTGTCATTAGCAATGAAAGCTTTATGACTTTAGGCATAAACTCAATAGCCTTTTCTGTTCTAATAGGAAATTTTCTGATCTGGGGGAGTCTTGTGTCTTGATTATCTCTGTATTACCGTGTCAGACATTAGTAGAAATTAGGAAGTGGATGCTGGGGGAACCATTTTAGGGAGCCAACCTATTAACTAGCATGAGAAACGAAAGCCAAGAGCCTCGTCCTGCTGAGAATCGGAGAAGGTTTCTCGGGGCACTTGCAAACACAGTGCAAGTTCTCTTCATGGACCGTTGTGATTGCAGTTAGGTTGAGTTAAGGTGAAGCTAGAGTGGTTAGGGCATTCTCATTTCTAGGTTTTAAATACAGTAGAGTTTAATTCTGATTTAACAAAAATTTGTTGCGAGTCCACTACGAGCTAGCTATTTATGGATACCACTTACCTCCCATGAAGGGGAGGAAAATAAGGCACAGAGAAGTGGTGATTTGCTCATGGCAGTAAAGCGGGGAAATAAATCTAGGCTTTCAACTTCAAGCCCAGTAGAGTTTTGAGATGGTAGAAACAATCTAGATAGAAATTCATTTCAGTGAGACAACTTTTAGAACTGTCTTTCTTACTGCGTCTTTTTAAATCATCTCAATTATGATTTTCTAAGTATTGTACCAAAAATAGCCATCTTGTATTTGCTTTTCAAAACTTGACTCTTTTTGAGCAGTTGATTGGAAGAGAAATGTGAAGGTGGGAAGGGTAGCATCACTGGGCCAAGCATCAAGATAGTAGGCTGATTTGGAGTGGATAGCCCAGGCCAGAGTGGCAGAGAATGACCTCGAAGCCCGGGGCCCAGGCTGCACAGCCTCTTACAGATGACCGCCAGTGTTTCCCTTGAGCATTGGCCTAAGATACATACACTCTGCTGCTCTGACTCATGCCTAGGCATCCTTCAAGTTTCATTGCTAGAACCTTATTGGAAGGCAGAGTAATCAGAGACTTTGACAGTCTCATATTAAAGCTAGTCTCATGGCAGAAATAAAAATGTTATCTGCATTTGTGCAAATATGAGTGTTATAACTTGTTAGTTCCATAGCAAGAAGTGAAAAGTTTATGGCCATGTATTAAGAATGGTTTCAAGTTAGGAAAATTTGGATTTACACCTATAAATTTAATTTACACTTCATTTTGACAAGCCTAGAACTGACTTCTCTTTTAAATAAGGTCTTTGTACTGAGGATTAGATAATGAAAATAATATTATTATTTGAACTATTTTGGTTGTTTTTAAATATTTTAGGATCATTTGTGTACCTTGATAATCAGATGACGTTGTCTTGTCTTGGACTGCAGTCACCTCCTGAGTGTTTCTTCAGTCAGGCCAAGCTATCTTCACCTCTCTCCGGGACCTCTGCAGTGGTGGCCTGACTGCCCATCCAGCCCCTACCCACCTCCCTATACTTGACCAAAATGGTCTTTTTAAAAAGCAAAATCTGCTACAGTACTTCAGTAGATTGAAATTCAGACAAGACACCCCCAGGTGGCCCATATAGGGCCTGGCCTCTACTCCCCAGGGCTGCAGTGTCATCTGACTCCTCCTCCCTGCACTTGAGCCGCCCTGGTCTTTCTGTCTCTCAGACTTGCTTGGCTTGGTTTTGTCTCACCCTTTGGCCCTCACGCCTGTTCTTCTGTCTGCACGATCTGTCTTCCGTCTTCACATTCTTGGGCCATCACACTTCATCTCAGGGTCATTTCAGGGATTCTGGAAGAAGTCCTTCACCTCTTAACTAGGTCAGATTCAGGTTTGCTGGCATTTCCTACCTCTGCTTCATTGCACTTGTTACAGTTACAATTTTGTGTTTATTTACATAATTTGATTAATGTTCACTGCAACCAAATTGCAAGCACCACAAGGGCAGGAACCTTGTCTGCTTTTACTCGATGCTTATATCCCTGCCATCTGGTACAGAACCTGGTACATATTAGCAGCTTGATAAGTATTTGCTGAATACTTGAATGAAAGTTTCATAAAAGGCATTTTCTCAGCAGTATTATCTGCAGCCTCTTGGTTATGAAGACGGATGAATAGAAGCATACTTTGTTATTAGAAAGCTCACTTACAGCCAAGAGAACAAGATCTGTACCAAAAATATAAGTTAGATTGCAGTTAGGGCTTGAAAATAATATGTCCTTAATTATTTGAAAATGCGCTATTAGACTAGCTTTTTTTCAGTAAGTCCAAAATGAGTGAATTATAATGTTAAGAAGCACAGATAATATGACAGCCTCTAACATTCATAAAGTAATTCTATCCCTAAAAGAAATAAAAAGTTGAACAAATTTCAGTTAAAAATTGAAAAGATGGAATAAAATGCATTAATATTTTAAAATGTCACCGAACACTGTGCTTGTGAAACCGTTCTATGTGAAAAGAATGAAGACATTTTTAGTACTGCCACATATTTTTTGAAAGTTGTTTTAAGGCACTCTGTTAGTATTAAGATTGTAGAAGTGTTTGGGGCTGGCCTGAGTCCTCTTTTTGCCTACATTTTGTTAGACGGTTAGGTCAGCCCTCACTAAAGTCTTTTCCCTCCCCTCTTCCAACATTACTTAGGCAGTTCTACCCCAACCCTGGGTTTGTGGCATGAAGCATGCGCTGGGTAAGAAGGCTGGCTGGGTAGTGCATTCCCAGAGGAGTCAGGTGATCACTGTTGGAAGGCAGCTGCTTGAGGTCCAAGGCAGTCAGTGTCCCCTCTCTTTTGCCTCGGGACAGCTGGTTATTTATCAGACTCCTAAGAAGTTTTCCTTGCTCCCTAGTAGAAGAGAGAGATTATGCAGCGGGCTTTTGATTGATCCAATGGGAATTACATTGATCTGGTGTCTGGCCTTGGTTCTTATCAAGTGGATCACCTCTAAGGTAGGCCATCTTTATTTTTAGGATGGTGACATTCATCATTATTAGTTTACATATTTGATAGGAATTAAATAGCTCGACGATTTTCTCCCCCTTTTGCCTCAGTTTTTATTCTCTGATTAAAAGAGCTGTGAGTTTCATCGGTCGGCCAAAGCACTTAAATTTACTACTTGTAGTTTTTATTCTTATCCCACATTATTTCTTGTTAAGGGCTTTTTATAGCATCTTTCCCCAATATCAAAGCAACATTCCTCAGTATCACTGCCTTAAAGAAGTTTTTATGACTAAAGAAGTTTAACTTTTAAGATTATGAAATTAAGTTATACTTTTGGTGTATATATTTTAAACATTCTCTCGGAGAAAATTTAATGACACTTGCGTATTTAAAGTGTAATGTTGAGGATTTCTAAACAATTATAAACTTTTTAAAAATGAAAAACCACCCTCTATCATGTTTTCTCTTAAGGTCTTACTACTGCTAAAATACATACCTTAGCTATAATATATTGACATAAATGTAGGATTACATATATGTTGTTTTTGAAGTTGAATTCTAAATGTCAGGCTTGAGAAATTCTTGATAGAATGCTAGCTAGCCATTTGCCATCTGGACAAGGGTCTAAAACTAAAATAAAAAATATTTAAAATTATACTGTTTGAAATTATTTTTTTCTATTCTTCTATAAAAGTGATTATATCTTTCATCCACCACACAGCTTTTTTTCTTTCTAGATTGAGAAACTGAATTTTTAAGGCTATCACTTAACTGAGAAACAGGGATTCTATAAAGTTAATTTTTTTTCTCAAGCAAGATTTTAATACCCACTATGTAATTTTCCACGTTTAAACATAACATTTTAAGCATAATTATCTCTTAAGTTGGTCTTCTTTTCTTAGTGAATAAGATTGAAGAAATCTCTTAAAGAAAAATAATGTATTCAGATTTTAAAATCTTTGTGTTTTAAAAGTTAAGAATTAATTTTGTTGCAGTGACAGCTATTTTCTTGTTTTTAAAGGATTGGCTTGCCAAGTTGTTGAATGAAGGTCAAGTTAATGTTAATAATGCATTAGTTGTCTTGTGGGTGTTTTCAGAGACTTGACTTTACCCCCCCCCCCGCCGTAGAGATGAGGTCTTACTATGTAGCCCAGGCTGATCTCAAACTCCTGGGCTCAAGCAATCCTCCTGCCTCAACTTCCCAAAGAACTGAGGCTATAGATGTGAGACAATGCACCTGGCCTCTAGACTTTACCGTTTTAATGACCACCAAAAAATCACGTTGTTTTTAAACAGAAAGAATGCTAATATTTTATTTTTTTTAAAAAAATGGTGAAAAAAGAAAGAAGAATGGGAAAGCTACTATTTGGTAGATCAGTGCAATATTTGAATACTTTAGCCACTCAAATACAAGCGTGTTTTTCTAGCATATGTAAGATGACTACTCTGAAAAACCTCATTTCGCTATGTCAGAGGAAATTGACTTCACAACTTTGGCTGGGCTTCATCTTTTGCTATATTATTGTTTTTTTTTGCTAGTGTTGCCAAAAATTTTATTCAGTGCTCCTGTGTGTAAGCCCTTTAACCATCAGTTTATGAATCTGCAAAATGGAACTAATAAAGCCTACTTTATAGAGATCTTGTGTGGGTTAAGTGAGATTTTGTGTGAAAACACTTGGAACATTTTTTTGGCACAAGGAGCACAGCAAGTGTTAGTTAATATATTATTACTCTTACCATGTAATGGAAATGCACTTGCTTTTGCTAATAAATCATTTAGTGGAAAACTTGGAACAGAATAAAAACAATGGCACTTAAAATATCTTTGCTGGGTTTTAAAACATGTCTGTCTTTAAAAGTTATGTATTAACTAATATTGGGAACAACTTTTACACCTTTTATCATTTACCTTCAAGTCAAATCTTTTGTGGAAGCATGATTCACCCTAATTCAAGGTGAGTCTTACCAGGGCACTCAGAACTCCTGTTAGTGAGGCAGTGGGTTCTTTGGTGCTTTACAGTTTAACTTGTTTGTGCTACTGCTGTCAGTTTCTGATTAGCTCAGCCTCGCCCATGTTTTGACCTATACTAGTTTGCTTTACAAGCTGTTCCCAGGATGGCTAAATTAGAAAAGTCACGAGTAGAAGCCTCTCAGTTATTTCCATTCACTGGTGAACTGAGGTGGGAATGTGGGTGATAGCTCTGAGAGTTTTATGACTGACAGTGTGACACAGGATTTTGATGAAATTTGTTTTACTGTAATTAAAAAGAAAATTCTAGTAGTATATGATTTTCAAAATGATAATCTTTAAAGAAATCTTTGTTACATGTGCAGCAGTCTTATATAAAAGTAGATATAATTATTTTTAAAACAACATGATTCTAACACCGAGGTCAAATTTTTATTGTTAGAACTCATAATTTATAGTTTTTTTTCCAAAATGAGTTACTGTAGATTATTCTACCTACCTACTTTAGATTATTCTACCTAGTGAGAGAGCTTAATATTCATTTTAATTTTAATTCTTAAGTGGGTAGGTGAATGAATTATCACTCAGGATGTGTTTGTTGATGGGTTCAGATATATATTTTAAAATCCATTCTTTAAAAACAGTTTTGGTCTCATTTGGATTTATTTCATAAAAGCTATGTCTTGTGGTTCAGTATAGCATTTAAGCTAAGTATTTGTAGACTAGCCTTACTTAAATTAGTACCTTATAATGAATAGAAAAACTTGGATATTTTGCACAGCCCTGTGTAATTTGTATCTATTTTAAAATTAAACTCTGCCTTTTTTGCTTAATAAATTAAGATTAATACAGACCCTACCATTTTAATATCTAAATTAGTGCTTCTATAAATGAGGCTAAAATGATTACCTTAATAAGTTTAATATGCCATGGTGTTATTTAGACTATGTGCATTACCCAGTTTTTGACTTAATATTATTTTGTGATGTTTAACAGAGTGCCAATAATATTGGTCAGTCTTTCACAATCATTAATGTGTGAAGTGATACATATTTTACCTTTCTAACTAGCAACTGTTACAGTAAATACCCTTCCTACATTAAAAAAAAAAACAACATAATAATAATGTCAACTCCCCTCCTAAAGAGAACTGTTGGAGATAACACCTTAAAATTTATTTTAACAAGTTATTTATCTGAGTTGTTACTGGACACTATCAAATTGATAGGTCATGACAAGTTATTACATAGTATCTGCAGTGTCATTAATTTGCTTTAGCTGATAGAAATATTTATTGCCACATATGCCCTTCCTAGGCTACTAGGTTTACCCCTAGATCGGTGGTGTTGAGGAGAGACCTGTAATCTAGTAAGCTAAATATGTTGGGGAGGGGATTCTCACAGTCGCTGTGAGTGGTGCCTTTTAACAGTGGCTGTTTCCTCCAGAATAAATAACATGAAACACTGCGGGAGGCTTCCTTAGGATATTCTATTAGTGGAAGACACTTTAAGCATGATACCAGGAGTGTAGTCTATATGATTTGGTCCCTTGGGATTTAAGATCATGCTTTTCTTTGTAGTAGATTTTTATTTTACTTTTCAATTTTAATTTTATTTTGTGAATATATGATAATTACACACACTGCAAGACTCAAAAAGTACAAAGATAAACATTGAAAAGCCCCTCTCCTACTTCTGTATCCCTCAGCCTCCTTGGAGACACCCAGTGGTGATAGTTAGAATTTTATTTTTGTTTGAAATTTTTTTTCCTCTTATATTTCATGAACTGTGTTTTTTTAAGGACTTGTGAAATCATGTAAGATTTTAATTGATATTTTTCTCTTAAAAGTCAAGCATTAAGGATATAATAACTTAATATTTTGGGTAGTTGTTGCACACTAAATCCAAGTGAGGGCTTTAAGTAAATTTTCAATATGATGAGAGTAAAAAATGTGATTTTTTTTTTTTGAGATTTGTAGGTATGTGTTGAGGAGTTGTAAATCCCATGCCAGAATTTTGTGAGGGAACACGATCATTAATCTGATATGTAAAAATACAATCTCATTGCTTTAATATGTATTTCTTTTGTTAATGAAGTCAAGCATTTTTTTGTATTTATTTATTTTTCCCTTGTGAATAGTATGTTTATGTCCTACCTATTTTTCTACAGCTCTTTAGTCTTTTTCTAACTAGATTTGTAAGACACTTAAAATTTTTTTTTGGTGGGGAGATAGTAGAGGAAAATTAGCCCTTTGTCATATCAGTTGAACTCACGTTTCTGTGTTTGAAGTTTATCCTTTACTTTGTTAATGGTATCTTTTACCATCATAATTTAACTTTTAAGTGGCCAAATTTGTCAGTATTTCCTGACTTAGGGATTTTTATAGGATAGTTAGAAAGGCCTTCCTATTTAAGACTTTTACAAATATAGTCCTGTTTTCTTTTAATACTTTCATGCTTTAATTTTTAACATTTAAACATTGTTCCATGTGTAATATGTTTTGGAGCAGGAAGGTAGTAATGTAGCTTTATGTTTTTCTAGATAGCACCACTTAATCTAACATTATTTATTAAAAATCAATGTTTCCTCCACAGATTCTAAGTCCTGTATTTATCATATACAGAATCACTGTGTACTCTTGGATTTGCTTCTAGAGTCTCTATTGATTATTTTCTCTGTTTCTTTGCAATGTCACACTATTTTGTTCATATCCCATAGTGCTAGTCCATTTCCCACCCTCCCCCTTTTTTTTTGAGACAGGGTCTCACTCTGTCTCTCAAGCTGAAGTGCAGTGGTACCATCATAGCTCACTGCAGCCTCCAACTCCTAGGCTCAAGGGATCCTCCTGCCTCAGCCTCCCAAGTAGCTGGGATTACGGGTGTGTGCCACCATGCCTGCCCTATTACTACTTAAACATTATTATTATTTTTTTTTTGCTTGTTAATTCAACTGATTTTACTGATCACTTTTGACATGCTAGGGACTGTTCTAAATGTTGGGATTTATCCTAGATCTGGGAAAATAGCAGTGACTGAAGACCCTGCCTCCACAGAACTTAGATTCTATGTCTGAACTGTGGTTTGGTCAATTTTTTCTTCCTCATTTTTAAATCTATCCTCACTTATATCCATTCTGTTAGTCACTAATTTATTCATCAATATATTTATTAGTTATTATTTATTTGTAGTAAGTCCATTTAGTCATTCATTTACCAAATTTTTATTTAGAACTTACTAAATAATAGATCCTGTTTTAGAGACCAGGGATGCAGTGATGACTAAGATAGACAAAGTTTCTGCTCTTGTGGAGCTTTTAGTAACATGCAGACAAGACAACTTCAGCCGCATGCTACACAGAGGACTGACGTAGGGAGCTTTGGAAGAGGGTGGCTTCTAGGTGGCTATAGATTTCATAGTCAGGTAATCTCTCTCTGAAGAGATGACGCTTTGTCTAGAAGCTGCAAGGTAAGAAGGGAATAGTGAAGCAGTGATCCAGGACGAGGGAACAGCAATTGGAAAGGCTGTATATTTGGTGTAGATGAGGAAAAGCAAGGAGGCCAGCTTGGCTGTCTCCTAGCAGTGGGGGAGGCCACAGTACAAGAGGGCACAGAGGTAGGCAGGTCACAGAGGACTCTCGAAAGTAAAGCTTGGGGAGCCCCAAGTGTGATGGGGAGCCTTTGGAGGAGTTTGAGCAGCAGCTGAAGTGCTTACTTTTGCTCTTATATGAAGCGTGGACTGGAATCCAAAGAGATGCAGCAGGAAAGCCAGTGGATTGTCCTTTCCTTTCTTTTCTATTAATATTTGGCAACTCCTATTGATCCCTTTTGAGTCAACACAGATGTCACCCCAAAACCTTTACCGACTTACTCAAACAGATTAAATTTCCAAAGAGAGGCTGCATGTGTCTCTCTTTGTATCCATTTTTATGGTAGTTCTTAACCATACTGTATTAGAATTATTTGTTGTCCCCATTCCCCAGAGATTTCAAGAACAGGTACCATATCTAATTTCATTTTGTATATCCAGCTTCTCTTGCACAGTGCTTCACAAATAATAAATGATGAATACATGTTTGTTGAGTTGAATTTTATATCATATTTAATTGTCATGTATTATAATGCATATTTTTTTTTTTCTAGAGGCGTGGAGCTATTTCCTATGACAGTTCTGATCAGACTGCATTATACATTCGTATGCTAGGTAAGCATTATTTATTTTATACCAATATCAGTTAATTTTGTTATTATCTGTTGTTATTTGAGTTTGAGGTATCTTTCATTAGGTAGCTTTTCATTGCTGTTTGTAGCAGAAATAACCTATTCATGGAGTTTAGAGTCTAGAAACAAATATTGAATGTGATGTGAATCAAGAGAAGCATTTTAGAGTTACAGATAATTGAGAAATCTTTGGCCTAATAACTGGGACACTGTCATTAGTACACAGTTTCAAATTGCATCTTGAACATTCTTCATAGAAAATAGTGTTAGATTTGTACAGTGGCTAAATACCAAATAGATGAATGCTAGCATGGACAAAGGTGAGGCCATGAAATACCTGCTCAGATCATCCTGTGACTAGATGTATTTTGTTCTCAGCTGGCTGGCAAGGAAGACCATTTGACTTCTAGTTCTGGTGCTTAAATTTTTTATGTATTAGTCAATTCCAGAAGGTGAAATGAATTTAGATATGTGCATATATATTTCTAATTTTCTTTTTCTCTTTTTCTCTGTGCCAGATTTCTGTCTTCATCCATGTCTCCTTCATTCTTGCACTTCAACTCATAGTATTAAACATGCATATTAAGATTCCAACAGGCACATTTATTCGTTTTTTGTTAGAAGACTCTCCTACGACTCCTCCTCAGCTCAGAATTCCTCCCTCAACTTTCTGATACTGATCTATCCTTATTCTTCACCTACTTTTGTTTTCTCCTTTGCCACCTTCACTAATTCCTTTTCATACTTTTAAGCTGAAATGTTCCCCAAGGTTCTGTTTTAACTCCTATTCCTTTTTGTCCTCTTTATTTTATCTTGTGTATCTTACCTGCCTCAGTTCTTTTCTATTCCAGTACATATTTTCCCCCCATGAATGCACAGCCTTTTTCTCCTTGCTGTCTCCATCTTTCTCTAATAAACATGTTCAGGATTCCGCTGTCCTTAAGACAGAGCTTTGCATTCATATTTTCTTTAACTTTGTAAAACATCTCCATGTAAATGTTATGGATATCTCAAACTTAACATGTCTAAAGCAAAACATTTGTGTTCCCCATGTCTGTCTGTTCTGCAGTCTTTTGCCATCTCAGTAAATATAACTCCATTCTTCCTGTCATCAGGTCAGAAACCTCAGAGTCAATTTTTTACTTCCTATTTCTTACACACTCCATATTGAATTCATCAGCAGATCCTACTGGTTGATACCTTTAAATACACTCAAATCTCACCACACCAATGCTGTTACCACCACATTTATTACTTACTCCTTAACTGGAGGCCCTGTGTCTACCTGTGTTCCCTGACTGACTCTGTTCTCATCACACCTAGAGGGAACCTTTTCAGACATAATCTGACTTTCTATTCATAAGTCTTTGATGGCCGCAAATGTCTAGCATGATCTGACCCCACTGCCTCTCCACCCCACCCCCACCGGTTCCCCTCACTCACCTTGCTCCTGCTGCGCCGGCCTCTTGGCTTGCCCTTGACCGTGCCAAGCATGCTTCTGTCTCGGGGAGTTTTACGCTCTCTCTTCCTCATGCCTGGAAGCCTCTTCCTCCCTGGCTCCTGCCTCGCTTCCTTCAGGTCCCTGCCCAGACACCTCCTTTTCAGTGAGGCCTTCTCTGACTGCACTAATGAGTCACCCTCCCCTGCTCCTCTCTTGCTATTCCTCTTACCTTTAGTTTTGTCCATGTAACTCATCATCTTCCACTGAAATTTGGTATTTATTATTTGTGTCATCACACAAAAAGATAAGCTTCATGAGGACAGTGAAGGGACTTTATGTATTTTGCCCTCTGCTGTATTTCCAGTGCTTGACTTGTTAACGTTTGTTGCAGCGTGAAGGAATGGCCACAGGACAGGTGACTAGTCATTGTGGGATGGAATTATAGTCGATGAAGTGAGTCTTGGAGGAAGTGATGGTCTTACTGAGAGAAACAGAGTAAGCAGGAGTGCCCTCTAAGCAAGCCAAATTGCGAGAGCACAGGAATAGAGGCTGAAGATTTAAAGGTTATGAACTTGGAGGCTATAAAAGTGTACTGGGAAAGGTGCTGTGTTTGGAACTCACGGAGCTGGGTTTAAATCCTGACTCACCCTTTGTACTAGCTTTGTGGCATGGAGCATGCTATTTAACTTCTCAAAGTCAAGTTTTTGAATCTGTAAAATGAGGATTAAGATTCCTATCTCTGAAGGTTGACGAGAGAAGAAAATAAAATAATGCCTGCAAAACACAAAAAAAGAGCGTCTAGACCATGGTTGCTATGGTTATGTTGCTGTATAGAAAAACAAATGTGGAAGTAATGTGGGCACATGTAGGAACCACACTGAGCTTACAAAGACCAAAGTTTAAGACTCAGCTAAAGGCCTTGGGTGTACCTGCTGTCAGTGAGAAAAGAGTGATGAATCAGGTTGACTTTAAAACAAAATCTTTAACATTTTAAGTTTTTACACATTTATGAAATTGCAAACTGCTTGAAAATAAGTAATATATTTTCCATTTTTCATATCCCTTTTAGCCCATACTATAGTGCTAGGCACAGTCGGCTCAAGTTTTGTGCTGAGGATTTTCAACCTCCTGTAAAACAGATACTGTTTCCCAATGGCCTTTTTTAAAAAAAAAAAAAAAACGTTGCCCATATGAGTAACATGTTAGGTCATCTTATCATATACTTGAATCCTATTTCAAAAGGCTAACTTATTAAAATATAGATTATAATAATTATTGTAGGGGTAGATTTTAAAAAGTCCTCCTCAGTCAGCCTTACTGTTCATTACTGAAATTTTGTGAACTCTTTCAAATAAATCAGCTCCTAACTACCTGTTCCACATATATCATCAGTGGGCTGTCACTTACGAATATGATACCACATGGACCTTTGTTGCTTATGGAAGCTTCTTCCCGAGCGATAACCTTCTAAACTTATGTTTTATTCTTGATTCTGTCCAGGAGATGTACGTGTAAGGAGCCGAGCAGGATTTGAATCAGAAAGAAGAGGTTCTCACCCGTATATTGATTTTCGTATTTTCCACTGTAAGTGTTGGTAGACATGATGTTTCTCTCAGACTTTCACTACAAATTTTAATAAAATTACATAGTTTTCCAAGAGAAAAAGAATACCAGAAAAAAAAATCTATTATGTTTGGAATGTTTTTAAAACCCAAGTCATGTATGTAAATGACACTATTTCTAGGTAATCTTAGTAAATACTTAAGAGACAATTAGAAGAGGAAGATACTAAAATATGAAAGTTGATATAGCTTTTCTCTTCTCCTCTGATTTATTACTTTATTTCTTTAAAAAGATTTTTTTTAAGTTGTTGTATTCCAGATGGTTTGTCTTTGCTACTTCAAATAAAATGTTTTTGTGCAAATGATATTTTATGAAGATGTTTCACTAGATTAGCAAAGTGTTATCTTTTCGGTTTATTTGAAAATGTGTATCACCTTTAAAGATGCCTGGTCGAGTGCCTGTTTCAAAAACAAACATTCTATGTGGATTTAGCCTATAGTGGAGGGAAAGGGGAAAAAACAGAACTTCTAAATGCCTTAAGTATTAAACATATTAAATCTGTTTGTGGAGGAGTTCCACTTTCAGTAATGTTGGCTAAAGTAATTTGGATTGATAATCTAAAAAATGAGAAAAATTATTCAAAATATAAAAGACATCTATGTATTCAAATGTATCTGAATGCTATTGAGGCAGAGAGATAAGCCCAGCACTTCAGGCTACTATTCTTCTTAGTAGCATGTACTGATTCTGGGAAAGGTGAATTAGAAGATGAGCAGAGCTTTTTATGGACACTTAGGGATAGAGAAACAAAAACAGGTGTTTAGAGCCCAGCAAGGCTGGAAGGTTGGTGCTGGTAAGCCATTCAGGCTTCGTTTGGAATCCTAAAGTGCTATGCCTTAGAAATAAATCCCAACTTTGAAATATCTCACTCACCGAATACATTACGGTGATCTGTGACTCGTGTTTCTAGCCACCTGCTGGACAGAGATGTAACTCATCCCTTAAGTTTGCTAGCTGCAAACAGAGCCCTGGGATATGTCCTAGGCAAAGAGTAGTCAGGGCTTTGTGTTCTTGAGACATCAGTAAGAATGTGTAGGGACCCTCAGGGCCTCCAAGGAGGATTAACTTTCCAGTAACAAATGACCCCAAAACTTATTGGCATAAAACAACTATTTTTAATGCTCATGATTCTGAGAATCAGGAGTTCAGTCAGGGTGTATCAGGTTTGGCTTGCCTGTGCTCTACAGTGTCTTGGTCTGTGATTGGAATGGTTCAGACAGCTTAAAAATGGCTGGGATAGTGGCACTGGAGCCTTATGTCCCGGGTCTTGGTCCATCTCATGTCATCTCCCAGGGCTGGAACCTCCAAGATGGCTTCTGCACTCTTAGGTGCCAACATTTTTCTGTCTCCGTAAATGGCAGTCTCAGGGAAGTCTTAGGGGTAATTGGACTAATTACATGGCAGCTACTTTCTGCCAGAGCAAACATTTCAAGAAAGAGGAAGTGTGAGGACTCATAGTGTCTGAAGATGTGGGCCCAGACCCTGGCATAACATCACATTTCCATATTCTGTTGATTAGCCGTGTCACACAGCTTGCTCAGAGTCGCGGACAGAAGACACAGCCCTCCACCCTGGTTGTCAAAGGGATGCAAGGTCAAAACCTTTTTAATCTCCCATCTGTAATCTGGCACAAAATGTTTTGAAAAAGTAATTAAGGTCCTAGAAGGAGAGGAGAGGGTAAATGTAGCAGGAGCAGTCTTTAAAGAAGCAATGGCTGAGAAATCTCTAGAAGTTGATAGAAGACATTAAGGCACAGATTCAGGAAGTATTATAAATCTCAAGCAGAGTAACATTAAAAGAACATCACACCTAAGTGTACCATAGTATAACTATGAAAACCAAAATCAAAGAGGAAGAATTAAAAGTAATGAGGGGTAGTGGAATATTACTTTCAAAGGAGCAATTATGAGGTTGCCAGAAACGGATTGTTTCATTTTCCACAGAAACTAAAAAGGTAGAAGACAAAGGAAACATAGCTCTGATGTGCTAGAAAAAAATAAACTGTCAAACTAAAAATGTAATCCACAAACTCTGAAAAGGACACACTTCACAATTTGTTACGTAAGGCTAGCGTGTAATCTTGATACTACAACATGACAAGGATGTGGTTGTCATCCACATCCTTGACTAATAGATTTTAGTCATAGCAGGAGCATGTGCTCATTTCTTTGAGTAGATCACATTTCACAAAACACACTAGATTACAAACAAAAAATAACAGCCAAATCGCTCATGAATATGGAGGAAACGTCCTAAATAACATATTATCAAATTATAACACAAAGGGGGAATTAATATATTTTGACCCAATTCATATTTTTCCAGGATATAAGGTTGGTTTAACAGTGAAAAATCAATCAGTGTAATTCACTATATTAATAAAATAAAGGAGAAAAGTTATGGATAGGTTAATATGTTAATGCTGAAATGGCAGTGCTAAAAGCCAAGATGACCAAATGCTAAGAAGAGCATTTGATAGGGCCAGTCGCAGTGGCTCACGCCTGTAATCCTTTGGGAGGTGCTTTGGGAGGCTGAGGTGGGTGGATCATCTGAGGTCGGGAGTTCGAGACCAGCCTGACCAACATGGAGAAACCCTGTCTCTACTAAAAATACAAAATTAGCCAGGCATGGTGATGCATGCCTGTAATCCCAGCTACTCGGGAGGCTGAGGCAGGAGAATCACTTGAACCCGGGAGGCAGAGGTTCCGGTTAGCTGGGATCGTGCCATTGCACTCCAGTCTGGGCAACAAGAACGAAACACTGTCTCAAAAAAAAAAAAAAAAAAAAAAGAAAAGAAAAGCATTTGATAAAATTCAGTATTTGTTCTTTCTTAAAATTCTGAGCAAGCTAGGAACAGAGAAAAACTTGCAGAGTTTGAAACATTAGCTACAAAACCCACAGCAAACATCATATTTAATAGTGCAATATTAAAACATTCTTTGTGAGATGAGAAATCAAGAATATCTTTCATCGTCTTTCCTATTCAGTATTGTTGTGGGAAGTCAGGGACCCCGAATGGAGGGACCGGCTGGTTGTTCTATCCGGTATAATAATGCAAGAAAAATAAATGAAAAGTATAAGGACTAGAAAAGAAAAAGTATCATTTTTATGGATGACATGCTTATGTACTTAGAAAATTGTTAGGATTTATAAGTGAATTTAGCAGTTTTCCTTTCAGTACGTAGTGGTATTTCTGTAAAGTAACAGTGACAAAATTAACATAATATATGATTTGAATTTGCGTCAAAAAACATCAAATATGTACGGATAAATCTAACTAAAGATATGTGTAACTCTACATAGAAAACTATAAGTCATTACATAGAAAAATTAAAGATAACTTAAATAGAAGTATATATACTGTTGTTTATGGATTGGAGGATTCAATGAAGATGTCAGTTTTTCTTCTTTCCTAAATTGATCTGTATAGGTTTAGTGAAATCACAATGAAAAATCCCAGCAGTTTTTTTTTCAATAAAATCAACAAGCTGATTTTAAAACTTATACGAAAGTTGAAAAAGCCAAGAATAGCCAAGACAGGAAGAAGAAGAACGAAATTATGGAATATACATCCATAGATATCAAACTTATTATAAACAGTAATAATCAAGTCAAGGTGATATTAATTCAAGGACTGACGAATAGAATAAAGGCATACTATAGAATCTAGAAATAACCTACACATATATGGATATTTGATTTGTGACAAGTGTGGTAATGCATTAGGTAGAAGATAAATAATGCAGTGGGTAGGAATAGCGATTTCACTAAATCAAGTGGATACCCATATAGGGAAAAAAAATGAATCTTGGACCCTGTTCACACCATGCATTAAAAAAATCAAATTTTGGTTGATTAACTTTGCCAGATTAGGCTGATAATTCAGGTAAGGTGAGGAATGCTAAATCAATAACATTGATTTAGCAATGTGGACATGTTGGTAGGGGAAGCCTGAAGTTAAAGTGAATTTAAGAAAGAACAGAAAGATGGGAATTAGATACAGCAAGTACAAACAACTCTTTTAGAGAGTTTTGCTGCAAAGAAAATGGAAGAGGCTGGGCATGGTGGCTCACGCCTGTAATCTAGCACTTTGAGAGGCCGAAGCGGGTGGATCACCTGAGGTCAGGAGTTTAAGACCAGCCTGGCCAACATGATGAAACCTCATTTCTACTAAAAATAGTAAAAATTAGCCAGGTGCAGTGGTGCGTGCCTGTAATCTCAGCCACTTGGGAGGCTGAGGCAGGAGAATCACTTGAACTCGGGAGGCGGAGGTTGCAGTTAGCCAAGATCACACCACTTCATTCCGGCCTGGGCTATAGAGCGAGACTTCATCTCAAAGAAAAGGGAAGAAATAAGAGAGGCAACTGACAGAGGAAGTGGGATCACTGAAACTAGAAATTAATAGCAAAGCTCGAGAACAAAAAGGCCTGGCCACCTGGAATTTTTCCAAATTCTGAAATAAGTACTTCTTGGGTCAAAGAGGTAGACCATAAAAAGATGATAATTAAAGATTATATAGGAAAATCTATGAAATTCAGCTAATGCAGTGCTTACAGGAAAATTCATAGCCTTAAAAAATACTTACATTCATAAATAAGAAAGAATGAAATAAGTCAACTAAGTAGTCCAACTCAAGAAGTTAGAAAGATAATATCAAAATACACCTAAGAAAAGATAAAGTAGTTGTTAAAGATAAAAAACAGCGATCAATGAACTAGTAAACTGAAATAAAAGTAGAACTCTGTAACTAAAGTTGTTGTTTGCAATAAAACAGATAAATTGCTCGCTAACTTAAAGACTGAATGGAGCTAACATGCATACTCAAAAAATAAGAGGGGAAAACACCACAGATAAAGAGAAAATAAAAGAATCGAAATGGACTCTTTTGTTTGACCCCAAAAATATATTTGAACACTTGTATGATCCAGAAAATTTTCTTAAAAATTGCAGTTTATTAGAAC